GCTTCCTGACGGAGCCGCTCATGAGAATCTTCTGCTGCATTCTACTGAGAGTCTTTGCATGTTCCCGGATGCATCTTTAGTTTTGTAGTTTTCATATGTTTGTTGCCTTTCAATGTCTAGGTACATACCACCGGTTTGGGGGCGTCCCAAAATGTAGCTTACATTTTTGGAAGTTCCGTTTTCTTGACGCCTCTCTGTGTTTCCACCCTTTTCCTCTAGACCTTTCTTCCTTCTCTTCCCGTTTTTTCTGAATTTCTTTCCTTCTTCTTAGATATGAGTGGGCCCTAGGGCCATCATATACCCGCTTCCTGACGGAGCCGCTCATGAGAATCTGCTGCTGCATTCTACTGCTGGTGTCTTTCTTCTATTGATATTTTCCTCCCCTCTCCCCTCTCAGTTGCCATTTGGCCGCAGAGTCTTTGCATGGACACTTCCTTGGCTGCTTTTCCCCGATGCATCTTAAGTTTTGGAATTTTCATACGTTGCCTTTCAATGTCTAGGTACATACTTACCACCGGTTTAGGGGCGACCCAAAATGTAGCTTACATTTTTGGAGGTTCCGTTTTCTTAATGCCTCTCTGTGTTTTCCCCTTTTTCCTCTAGACCTTTCTTCCTTCTCTTCCCGTTCTTTTCTGTATTTCTTTCCTTCTTCTTAGATATGAGTGGGCCCTAGGGCCATCATATACCCGCTTCCTGATGGAGCCGCTCATGAGAATCTGCTGCTGCATTCTACTGCTGGCTTTCTTTCTTCTATGTATATTTTCCTCCCCTCTCCTGTCTCAGTTGCCATTTGACCGTAGAATCTTTGCATGGACACTTTCTTGGCTGCTTTTAACGCATGCATCTTTAGTTTTGTAGTTTTCATATGTTGCCTTTCAATGTCTAGGTACATACCAACGGTTTAGGGACGTCCCAAAATGTAGCGTACATTTTTGGAGGTTCCGTTTTCTTAATGCTTTTCTGTGTTTTCCCCTTTTTCCTCTAGACCCTTTTTTCTTCTCTTCATGTTTTTCTGTATTTTTAAGATGCCTTTCTGTGTTTTCCCCTTTTTCCTCTAGACCTTTCTTCCTTCTCTTCGCGCTGTTTCTGTGTTTCGCAACACGTCTCTTCGAGCCACTCCCGAAGAGATCTACACCCCCGGTCCCCCCGAAAAAAACATTGAAAAATGTAGCTTACATTTAGACGGGCGCCCTCCCGGTTTTGTAGAGATAGGGGGTGGGGATACTGTATGCACGCCAATAGCATCACCCGTTCACCCCAGACGAATTCGACCAGTATGTGATCGAGAAGAACCCCACGTTGGGGCAGCCGTGACTGAGACTCTATAGGACACTGAGCGCTGAGCGCTTCGGGCCTTGCTTCTTGTCCTGGGCAGCTGAAGGAAAAACAAATGTTCCGGCAGTTGCAGAAGGAGATCCAGCTCCCATGGTCCACCTTCCAGGTTGACGCGTGGGTGCAAGGCCAGAGGCACGTCAAGGACTTCGAGATGGTGGACCTTGGGGCTTCTTTGATCAACTAAGATGCTGTGCGGGAGTGTTGGACAGGATCCTAATGGGAAACGCATCAACAGCTTCCAAGAAGGCGGAGGTCACGGTCTGGCATTATGGTTTGATCGACTTTGTCACCTCAGAGATGGGGCCTGGTGGTCCTGCTCGAATGCCCTGCTACCAAATGGGTCAAGCTAACCTGCATGGAAGGGCAAGGGACCTCGAGACCCTAAGTTGCCGCAAGGGGTCGGCCACCACTGGTTGGAAGATGGGGAGCACCACGTACTTCATCTACGTGTTCGACCGCTAAGCTGATGGACAGTGAAGTGTGGACCCTTACATGGGATGCTATCTGCCGGTGGGCAGAGAGCTGATGGATCGACATCTTGGAGGTCGACCTGTCGGAGAATGAGGGGGGTGAACACCCATGGCATGAGTGCTACGCAGGTGGGAAGACCCGCAGAAAGACGAATCAGGTGGTCGGAGAGGCAGCTGTTCAAGGACTTCTTCGCCAACCCACACCATTCGATGGAATGGTCACTGCTCGCGTTGAGGAGTGGCTGGAGGGGAACATGGGTGGTGACAAAGAAGCCAGCGCGGAGCGAGCCTATGCGGGTTCGCGGGGAAATGGAAAGGCCGGTACCCCAACCGCAAGGATGACATGGTTGACAACGAGAACAAGGCGCTGACCTTGGTTGGCTGGGCGCTTCTGGGGCCACGATCAAGCAGGCAATCTGCGCGATCAAAGATGGATGGGACGCAAGTTGGTGGACCCCTTCGAGGTCACATTCCCGGAGGCGGCTATGGTTCAAGCAGCTATGGTCACAGCTTGGTTCTTCATGCTCAGTGCCAAGGAGTATTGCGACAGCAATGGGGTTGATGAGGACATGATCTTGCGGGGCATTAACATCCGCTTCACCAAGGGCACTGAGGTCGTGGATGGCACGGGCGCCAATGAGTTCACCATGCAACTCAGAAAGACGAAGACGGACCAGTTGGGCTTTGGTGAGAACCAACCCTCAAAGCCACTGGAGAGCGACGCGTCCGCCCTGTGGAGGCGTTGGTGAGGATGCAGCAGGCCTGACGGACCAAGTTCATGAGGGAGCACGGAGCACGGTGATGGAGCTCGGCCATTGTTTCGATGGGCCAACGGTGTTGCGCTGAAGAGTGTTGAAGTACAGTCTTTGCTTCAGCAAGCGGCGAAGGGCGTTGGCCTCCCCCTGAATAGGTTCATGGGCCACAGCCTCAGGATCGGTGGTGCCAACAGCGTTGTTTCAGAGCACTGGCGAAATAGAGCTGGTGAAGCGGCAGGGCAGGTGGTCGAGCAGTGCCGTTCACCGGTATCTTCACGACGGTGGGAACCAGCTGGCACAGGTGTCTGTGAAAATGGCACAGCTCGGGAACACCATGCACTATGCATGAATGGGGGACAAAGCCCATAGGCCACAGGTGACGCAAGAGCATCAAAGGACGCAACCAGACAGGTTGCCAACCGCCGCTG